TTCTTCCTGTCCCGTAATGTGGGGGCCGAGAGGAGGGGGGATTGATGTGCCCGCGCCCACAAGAACACAGGTGCCTAGCTGAGGCGCTAGTTCTGAAAATCCAACACCCCCTCCCCTACAGAAGGCAGGATCCCCTCCCGCTCCCATCATGACAGGGGGAGTGGTCTCAGCGTTTCATTTACCCTCGGGGCGCAATGGGGCAAGTGAAAGGAGGCTGACACTGGGGACTTGTCTCCCTCTAATTCTGGAGGCGATCCTAAAAGACGCTGCAGGCTTCCCTCCTCTGTTGCCGCTCCTCCACCCCAATCCAGAAATTGTTTCTCTCATTCCGTATTCATTTTTGTCTTCTTGTACAAACAGTACCAGGCCGACTATCAGGGAGGCAGCCCGGAGGCATTTATGGTCAAGCCGCAGCGTGACAGTGAGAATTTCTCTAGGGGCCCTGTGGGGAAAACAGGAAGTGGTGGAGGCAGGAGAGGCAGGGCCTGGAGAACCTTGTGCAAAGTGGCCCCCAGGTTCATCCTTTTGATCAGGCCAGTACAGTGTTCAAATGGAGCACAGCTTTGGCAGGACCCTCGGTGCCCAGCAGTCACAAAACTCCCAACCCGTTACTCTCCTTTAATGCCACGTGAGGATCTCTTTTGCACAGCGCCCAGGAATGTTTGCCCTTCTCAGTCTGTTCCACCTCTAGGCCGCCGCCAGCGGGACCTCAGCCAGCCAGGCCTCAGCCAGCCGAGGACAGTCATTCGTGCACATCCCAGATCTCAGAGAGCAGCGGGGGAAGCTTTTTGTCCTGCAGGCGCAGCGCAAACACTTGCTCTGAGTGGACGCTGCTCAGTGTTCGGAGGCTCACCAGCTTCATTAGCATCCGTGGGAACATGAGTGGGTCCTGGGGAAGGAGAAGGACAAGTTCAGACTTTGTCTCACCCCAGGGAAGAGGGCAAGGGTAGGGGAACTGTGGGAGAGGTATAATCAGAGAGGGATTCTTGAAGGGAAAGTAGGTGTGTCAGGGAATGAGGAGAAAGGGCACCTAGGGGAGACTCACATGGGGGTGGTGGATGGAGACATAGGCATGCAGGGCCTCCACATATGTGTGTTGCAGCCTCTCTACCTGGAGCTGATCCTGCACGTTGGGCCGGTCTATATTCACAAACAGAGTTGAGGAGCAAGTCTGGCCAGGGTCAGTTCTATACCCCAAATCACAACCAAAAATAGGAACATGTCCCACCCAACCACTCCCATCCCAAAGTAACAGCAAGGGCCTCCACCCTTACAATGCCTGCCCTATGGGGCCTGCAGCCCTCCTAGGGCTTGCTCATTTTCAAGTCGCTTGCTCATTTTCCCTCTTGCCCATCCTCCACACCTGCAGAAAAGATGCTGATGGCAATGAGCAAGGCAAACTCGGCATCATTGAGCTGCAACTCATTCATGGCTCTGGAAAACTCGAAGATGGGGTTGATGAACTCCACTTGCAGTCCTGGGGAAGAAGGAGGGAGGCTGAGTGTGTGGCATGAGTGGCAGAAACTTCCTTCTCTCCTCCAACTCCGAAACTTAGAGAACTTCTAGGAACTCAATAAGAAGTATCCAGGGCTCTGCTCTGTAACCTTGGGCAAGTTTATTAACCTCTCTAAGCCTCATCTGTGAGATGGGAATCATATCTGAATTTATAAGACTACTGTGACGGTTAAACGCTAAAGCATGCACAGCACTTAACACTGTGCCTGGAACATAGGATGTGTGAATTGAATGATAATAATAATTCTGTTATTCGTATTAAAATTATTGAGGGCCCCATTACTAGATATAGAAGCAACTCATTTCTGTTTATAAAGAAACCTCACTGGCAATTGGCCTTACTTATTTGAATACTAGAGATACATTTCATGTTTCATATCTTGGGGGAACTTAGCAATGTGGTTGAGGGTACAGACTGTGGTGCCAGACTGCCTGGGTTTGAGTCCTGGATCTACCATTTACTAGGCTGAGCCTTGGTTTTCCCATCTGTAAAATGGAGATAATAGCACCTACCATAATTGGTCCTTAGAATAATGTGTGGCACATATGGTAACTACTATATATATAAATAGTAAATTTATAAATATAGGACCAATCTTCTTGATGAGACTGAAGTTCAACAAACCATGACCTAAAGTCGTGACATCTAAAAAACACTTCTCCCATACACACTGTCAAAGTCTCCCACCCCACACCCTCCTCCAGGCTTTCTCAGATTTCTTTTAGCAACCATCTGCTAACTTTTCCATTCGAGGTTTCTTGATTAGTCACTTCCTGTATTTTCACCCTGATGTTTATCAATGTGTGTTGATACATTTAATGGACAAGCCCCATTTTATAAAGTATTTGTTGCTGAGGTATTGAGTGAGCCTTGAATTGTGCTAAACAGTCTGTTTGTACAGAGAGGGCAAGTAGGTTTTAGAGTTGGGTTATGCACCCTGAAAGGGTCTGTCTGCTACTGCTCGCTGAATGAATGCCTCCAATGGCATCAGTCCACATCATCAGTCATGTAGAGAGGGAAGAAGACCGGACAGGAAAGAGCCCCTGTTCCCTCTCCCTGGGACCTCACTGACAAAATGACAAACAAAAGGCAAAGATAATATCAAAACTGCTTATATAAATGAATCTATAAATAGGTACAGATTCAGATGACATAAGCCTGAAAGTGCTGAAGAAACACACACATAAGAACTGGAAAGGGTTCAGAAAGGAGGATGCTACGAAGGAGAAGGCCATGGTTAAGAAGGACTGGGAAAATAACCACTTGGGGAAAGGTGGTTGGCTAGAGAAAGGGGGTAGGGCTGGGTTTTAAAGATGGAAAAAGTCATGAAATTTCCCAGACATTCTGGCAGCACACTGTAGGCAAAAGGTGCTAACACAGCCCTGCCGTGCCCTATAGTTAAGAGAGGCCTTCCTGGGCATGTCACTGGGTAGCCTGGGTTGGGATAAAAGGCACATGAGCTGAGCACCAGACAGCATCAGCCATATTTTAAACTCACTCACTCCATTGTTAGACTACTAGGTCACCTATTGAGCCTCAGCTCCACTCCCTCCAAAACACCCTTAGCCTTTCATCCTTTGCTAACCCTGCTCCCATAGCACAAACGTTACCAGCAATTGAGTATGAGGAAACCAACACTGCTTAGCCTACAAGCAAGTATCAGATAGAGAGCAGCAGTGGGAACAAATTCTTGGAGAAAACACTTCAAGTACAGGATGGGGACAGAAGCATCCACTCTGATCTTAAAGCTGCATCATTTGGACATGTTTGCTATGTATCAGCTCCAGTTTCATGGCTCTTCAGAAAGAACAAGTGAAGAAGAGTAGGGGGAAGCAGGTCCACGTGATCCTTAAAGAGCACATCTGAGAAAGACTTGCTCATTATTGACTACTAAAGGGCTCGGTATGGTTGTTTTCAAGCCTTTCCCTCGTTATGAAATCTTTTCTTGAAGCACATTATGTAGAAGCATGATATATAATGCAGATTTACATGGAGCTTCTTGTTTGGCTCCATTTAAAGTAAGAATGAAGGACATTCCTGTGCCTTCTTGTTTCTTCTCTAAAGTGACAGTTCTGTGGAACCCCTCCCTCGGGTTCCTGGGAACACAGTTCGAGAAACGCTGGCCTAAGGCAACAGAGGACAGGAGTCCATTTGAGACAGTTGAAAGAGACCTATAAGCATTCCAACTTTCTGTCTTGGAAAAACAGATGAAGCCTTCCCTTTAGAGACACCCAAACGTTGGGCCTGTGACTCTGGAGTCACTATGGGCTCCAGGACAAAAAGTTTCTGTCCATCCAAACCAGTCCCTTTGTTATCTCAGGTCTCACCTGCTTTAGCAAAGTCTTCCCGGTTATAACTGAAATCCTTGAGGAAGGTGATACTCTCACTCTCAGGGTTGTACCTCCGAGATGTCTCCAGAAGCATCACCTGCACACAAGTAGCAGACCTCAAACAGGGACTCGGCGGGCTGGTCCTGGCAATGGGGCACCTTCAATTGAAGGTCCCTACTTCCCAGTGGTGGCTCTGGCTTCCCAGCTGGCTGTCTAGAGGCCCTTCCCATGGACAGTCCCGCTCGGGCTCTCCCTGCACCCCTCAGCCCTGCCAGCCACCTCAATAGTGGAGGTCTTCAGCAGGGCGATCTGGTCCTCCCGGCTGAGCTGCAAGAAGCCGGGCAGCTGTTTGGCAAAATCAACGATCTCCTGCACAGAGACGATGGCCAGCTCAGTGAAGTGGGCAAAGCGCTGCTGACGGGCCTCCCAGCTCTGGGGATCTGGTGCCATGGGCCAAGGCTACCCAGAAGGGCAAGGAGGGGAAAAACAAACCGCTCTTAGTCAGACATTGAGAAGCCAGCTGGCGCTCTGGGTATAGCCACCTCTCCCCAGGTCCCTCAGATACCGTGACGCGAAGCTGGTCAGAAAAGGAGCGTCTGTTACACTGTTGCTGGGCAGCCACTAGCTTCTCAATCATACCCAGTTGCTCTGGGCTGAGTTGGGGCAGGACTTGGGGAGGTGAGGATGCTCTTGGGGGCACGGATGTGGCCTGAGCCTGTTCCTCCTCTTGCCGCTTCAGTTTCTTCAGTCGGATCTGTTCTTCTGACAGGACACCTAAGGACCGGCCAGATGAGAGGAGGGAAGAGGAGGGGGAGATGAGAACCAAGGAAGGGCCAGAGGGGTAGTTGAAGGCTCCAGAAAAGCAGAGATCACAGGGTAAAAGCAAGGAAGAAATTTTAATCCATATTTAGGGACCATATAGGAAGGCCCTGTAGGCTCAGCTGCCTGTCTGCCCTCACACCCTGGCACCCACATGCCCCCTCTTCCCCATCAGCCCCTTCCCCATTCCTGTCCCCAGGTACTCACACTCCTCCCGCATGCCAGCTTGGCGGCATTTGCGAAGGCGACACTCCTGGCACTTGCGACGCATATAGGTGTCCATGGGGCAGTGGCCCCCGCTGTGGCAGATGTAGCGCGCCCCTTTGATGACACTGCGGCGGAAGAATCCCTTGCAGCCCTCACAGCTCAGCACGTTGTAGTGGAAGCCAGAGGCCTTGTCCCCACACACACTGCACAGCTCATTCCCCAGCATTTTGGGGGCTGGCCCCTTTTTCCGCTTTTGTGGACGGAGCTCTGGATACAGGGAAGTGCCTTAATGTTCTTCTCTAAGAAACAAGCTTGGTGCCCAGCTGGCCACTGCCCTGAGCACTCAGTGACCTTCATGCCCCTTTTAACATGCAGTCTATCTAGTCTCTCTATTCTAAGAAAGTACCTCTCATGTCCCAAGTGCTAGGTATTATGTCCCAGGTACTGTCTCAGCCCTGTATATGCATTGATCCTGACGACATCCAAAAGAGATAGCTACTGTTATTATTTCCATTTGATGAATAAGGAAACTGAGGCTCAGAAAGGCCTGAGGTAGAGACAAAACTCACAGACCACTCAGGTCTAGTCGACACTAAAGCTTTGGTACTTAAACATGATTTTATATGGTACAGAGCCCCAAGATGCCCCTTCCAGATCCAGGGAGCCCCTACATCCTCCAAATCCAGCAGCTCCTCACCTGTAGACTCTGGAAGGACTTCCACTCCTGGGAGCAGGGCTGTGGGATCTGCCACCTCCAACCCTGCCCCCGAAGGGCCCCCCGCTGATTGGGGCATGCTGGCTTCCTCCCTGAGGATGCAGTTGCTGCCTCTCAGCGCCCGGCTGTTTGCATCTTGTGCATCTGGTTCCCACAGCTCCACTGCAGAGTCTGAGTCAGGAAAGAGGAACAAGGGGAGGATGAGGGGGGAAGTCTCAGGTCCTCCCCCTCCACTTCCACTGCATCCTGGCTGGGAAACTGCAAACTTATCTCCACCCATAGAGGGCAGCAAAACATCAGCTCAGGCTTCAGACCCTGGCGTTTGTGTGGGCTCCAGGGCTAGTCTTGCCAACTCCCTGCACCTCGATACTTTACATGAGGATGTTAACCCTTGTCCCCTTGGGGGCCGGCATGCATCTATTTCAGAGATCAGACAGAACTCTTAATTAAAAGTCAAACTGGGTGAGCACTGTACATGCCCTCTCCCAGCAGCAAGTCCAGACAGAAGGATCGGCAGGTGCCTGCAAGGGCCAGGCACCAGAAGCAGGATGAAGGTAGTCTGGGCAGAAGGAGGCAAGGATGGCTCTAGACTGCTCTCTGGGGAAAGGCAGAAGGCAGGTAGTGAAGAGGCCCTGACTGAGGGGAGAGGGCTGGAGTAAAGCAGCTTACCAGGAGAAACATTAGGCACAGGGGCCTCCAGCCACAAGGACATCTCTTTCTCTTTCTGGAGCCCTGGACATTACCAAGGGACTGTCCTGCAGGAACAACTCAGGTTATACTCTTCCAGAACCGGGCTCCTTCTTTATCAGTACAGCATATTAGCTAACATTTACTTGATCTGCATCAGCCTGTGCTAAGGCTTTACATGCCTTGCTCACTGTGTCCCTCTGAGGTCAGGACTATTCTTTAGCCCATTTTACAGATGAGAAAATGGAGTTTCAAAGAGATGAAGTAAATTGCCTTTGGCCACACAGTTAGGCAGCAAAGACTCCACCTCTGATCTCTCTGACTCCAAAGTCTGAGCTCTCAGCCACCGTGCCACTTTTTCTCCCCAGGGCCCACCTCCTGGCCATCAGGGAATATTTGGGCACATCTGCTCTGGTTCTATTAAAGCCCTTTCCCCTCACTCCAGCACTGGGGCAGCCAAAGTTGGGCAGGACCAGGACATGGGATGGAGGCTCCACCCAGTGAAACACGCTGCTTGCTAAATAACCTCACTCCTGCCGCTTCCCAGGATCCCAGCACAAACCTGTTGCCTCCAAGAGTTGCCCCAATTCACATACAGGACCTCCTCCCTCCCAGCCCCTCAGGAGTTATTCTGGGACTAAATGGGATCCTGCCCAAGCTTCCATCACTATCATCATCCTTCACTTTTCCCCAAAGAGACCCCTTTCTAAGATCCATGGGACCCCCACTCACCCCCATGCACCAAACACACACAGGGCCCCAGGCAAGTGCTGAGGAGCCGACCCACCGAATGCCTGGGCTGTCAGACTTCCTGGCTGGGGCAGTCTCTGGAGCCCCCTTGCTGAGAGAGGAGGACGGTGCAAGCTCTGTCCAGAGGCCTCCGCGGTGGCTGAAGCCGTAGCTGAGCTAGACAGGGGCCCGGAGCCCCAGGGAAGTAATATGGGGAAAACCTGAGGGGAGGGACTGCTAAGGGGTCAGGCCACTGCTCCTTCTAGCCAGGCAGAGCCCGGAGTCAGAGCTGGCGCCAACCAACTGACCGACTGGAGCCTTGGCCTCCTCACCCCCGCCCACCGGGCAGCCAGCTTCCCCACCACGCTGACTCCTCCCCAACTAGCCACCCCCTCAGCCCAGCGCCATCCCTGCTCTCCTACCCCCAACCACAACAGTCGCATTTCCCTGCAGACCAGCCCAGTTCTCCCCTTCCTCTGCTCACCCAGGCTGCTCTTACAGGACTGCCTCCCAGGCACCCCCACCCCAATCCCGGCAGCCTCCAGAGTTGGTGTCCCCTCCCCTCCATAGACATTTCGTGGAGCAAAGGTCCCAGCACAGCCTGGAATTGCAACACGGAGCCCCAGCCTGCTTTCCCAGCCTCCCTCCTCCTCCCCTGCCTCTGGGAAGGGGCCAAGAAACTCTCCGCCCCGGCCCAGCCTCAGCCAAGCTGGTAGAACTCCATGGGTGGAGAGGCAGGTGCTGGGCCTTCCTGTAAGTCTCTGAATGGGGGGCCCTGTGAGGGCTACCAGCAGGGGAGAGGCCAGAAGAGAGAGAGGGGAGCAATGGCCGGTGCCAGGGTGGGGGTAGAGAGATGGCAGGTGACCCAGGTGCTAGCCCAGTATGGATCTGGGAAGGTATGCAAGTTCCCTCATCTGGGGAACAGTTCCAGATGAAATGCTGACAGGCTCTGCCCAGCAGCTATTGAGCCTTCCTGCCCTGTTGCCTGGAATATGAGATCCATTCCTGAATGTAGACACCATGTTTAATTGATCTTATCTCCCTTGTAGCCCATGGATCAGGGCCTGGCATAGTTTAGGCAACAGAGTAGGTACTGTATTCCTGTTCATTAAATGAATAAGCAAGCAAGAAAAAAATATATGACCCCCTTCTATTTTATACTTGTTAACTCTAGTCAATTTCATTTCCGCATATTTAATTTTTTGGCCTTAGGCTCAGAATTTGGGTTCAAATTCTGGCCTTGCCTTTTATTAGCTGTGTGATCTTGATTAAACAAGTTACTTAATATCTCTGACCCTCTATTTCCCTATCTTTAAAATCAGATGCCTCCTGCACACCCCCTACTGGGGTTGTGCCCGCAACCAAGGTACATGCCCTTAACCGGAATCAAACCTGGGACCTTTCAGTCCATAGGCCGACGCTCTATCCACTGAGCCAAACCAGTTAGGGCAATTTCCCTATCTTTAAAATCGGGATAATAATAATGGTTTTTGCCACCTAAGGTTGTCATGAGAACTAAACAATATGTCATAGCACAATGTGTAGCCCATACTGTGTTCAAGAGATGGCAGCAGTTATCATTAAATTTCCAATCTTTCAGCTATGGGACTTCCCAACACCATGCATCTGTACATTGTTAACCTTCCAGTGCTTGTTTCCATACACAAACCCTGCACTCTCTCTTTTGGTCCTTAGAGCAGCCCCAGGAAGGAGGGTAAATAACACAAGCTCCATTTTACAAAGAATACTAAGCTCACGAGAGAGGCTTCTCGAAGACCACACACAGTGGCCAAGCTGAGATCAAAATCCAGATGTCCTCACTCCAGTCTCTGTACTCTTTCTTTCTCCTGCCTCAGAGTCCAGGAGAGTTTTGTTGCCTTTCAGATCAAAATCCAGATGTCCTCACTCCAGTCTCTGTACTTTCTTTCTCCTGCCTCAGAGTCCAGGAGAGTCTTGTTGCCTTTCAGGTCTGCTGGATCAGTGAAATGTGGAGATGGAAGAAGCTGGGAGGGAGCGGGAGAGGACGGCAGTAGAAGAGGCAGAGAGCTCTGGGGATGCTTCAGTCCAGATGTGGCAGGGGAGGAGTTGAGGTTACTGCTGGCTGATCACCCCCTGCCCCACTCCCAGCTTCCTGCTCACAGGCTCTTCCTGTTTTGCTGTGAACTCCAGTTCCCATGGGCCCCCCATTAAAGCATAGGACAGGGGGCCAGGGCAGGCAGCCAGAGGGACAGAAACAGATGAACAGGGCACCAGGAGAGAGGACAGTGAACAGGGAAAGAGTGGATGGGGGCAGGGGGGAGAGCAGGCTTGGAGGACAGGGAAAACAGAAATAGAACAGGAGCTTGGTGAAAGATGGGAGGAAGCACACAGGGTGGGGCAGGGGGAATAGGTGGGGGGTGGGGAGCACAAGCTTGAGATGACGTGGGCTGGGTGGTGTTGCAAAATCTGCCCATGTGCTTATTTTCACATCTCAGAAAAGCCCCTCTGACACCCACATCTCAAAGTTCTGCCTCCAGCTTTTGCTCTTGTTCCCTTTCATCACAAGGTCATCCCCTCGCAAGGCCCCCACCCTGGTCTGGGCATCTCTGAGTCATGAGCACAAGGCTCTCCATTCCTCTGGTGTGTGTTCCCTCCCTGATTTTCACAAGGTCCCAGCTGTCCTGGGAAAGTAGAAACTAGGACTCAGGCTCCTGGGAAACTGGAACTGTTCTGTCCCAGCACCCACATCATCCATCCAGCTCCTTTCTCCGCCTTTCCCCATTGCCAGTAGCTCCAGCAGAGGAGCATAGTCAGAGATGTCACTGAAACACCTGCTCGCAAGGAACTCGGAATGGAACGCTGCTCTGAGGCCTGAAGACTTATCTTCTCTCGTCCACTCCTGATCCTCTACTCCCTAGACTCTCCAGAGCCCAGGACCACACACAGGCCCCACCTGGAGCCTTCTGACCCAGGCTAGAGCCAGTTGCTGAACAAGCAGTTCAGGGCGTCATCTCCCCCATGCCATGTCAGCCTCAGCCTTGTCTCAAGTAGAGGAGGAGGGAACATTACCAGTGCTATACAAAGAGCTACCCCTTAGGCTACAGGGGCTTGGGAGCCCCACCTAGAGGGGATTGGGGAGAAAAATGAGAAGACCCAAACCTGTAGTCAATACCTCCAAAGAGTTTCCAGAGATCAACCACTGGACTTGTCCCCCAGGCCAGGGCAAGTAGTCAGGTTATCAGCAGCTGGAATCACATGTCCCACCAGCCCACAGATGTCAGTTACAAAACCTCCCAGTCCCATGGGGCCTTTCCTAGCTTTCCTTAGCTCCTAGAGGAGGCACCATGCCTAGGAACACCTTCAGTGATCTTCCAAGTCCCATTTCTGACTCCCAGGACCTCCCAAGTCTTCTCATTGGAGCAAGGGGAACCTTGAAGCAAAAATAGGAGCACTCACCAGTCCTATGTACTACTGAATTACTCCCCTGAAAGCACTCAAACTCCCATAAAGCAGGCCACAAGGTATGGTTTAGAGAAACAGACTAGGGCAACTGCTTCTTGCTCTCTCCTTCATCATTCTGGAAAGGTGAAAAGTGTGGGAGGATCTTGCAGGTTCCTAAATGACTTCTACCCAACCTCCCAATCACAAGATAGAACCCAAGAATTCCTGCTTCCCAGACCAGTGAGTTCAGAGATGATATAGAAGACAGAAGAAGACATGTAGGCCCCACTACATGTATTATTTATCCTCATATATAGCCTAGGACCGTGGGCGGCAAACTGGGGCTCGAGAGCCACATGCGGTTTTTTGGCCCCTTTAGTGTGGCTCTTCCTAAGCCTTAGGAGTACCCTAATTAAGTTAATAACAATGTACCTACCTATATAGTTTAAGTTTAAAAAATTTGGCTCTCAAAAGAAATTTCAATCGTTGTACTGTTGATATTTGGCTCTGTTGACTAATGAGTTTGCCGACCACTGGCCTAGGAGATAGTTACTAGCAAGGGGGTAAATATCAAATTTGGATATAAGTATGGCTGATTCAAAGATCAAATTCAAACACAAAAAACTTCCTCACTCCATTACACAAACTACCTCCCCAGATGGGAAAAGCGGTTAACTCACCTGGATTTAGGTTCACTTCTGCCAACACAGGGTAGAGCAAGTGATTCCCAAACCTGGCCTCACTTTCAGAGATTCTGACTTATTTGGTTTGGGGTGGCCTTTGTATCTACCTATCTACATCGTGTGTGTGTGTGTGTGCATCTGTAGTTAGGAACCAAGGTATGGGGACCACAGAATCATCTGGTACAAATATTCAGAAGCTAGGGGTCCAGAAAATCCAAGGCTCAGCTATGGGCTCTACCATGTACTTGTGGTGTGACCCTCACTCTTCCTGGATTTCTCACTATAAAAACCGGAATATCTGCTCCATCAATCCCTTCTAACATGGGATACTTGCAGGCACAAAGGATATAGCATACTTGAGCAAGTGGGAATGAGAAGCAAAAGATGAGTTTGAGGGATTTTCATTCTACTTGCCAAAATTTACATTCTGAAATAAAAATGGTTTGGCTAGTTTGCAAGGAAAGTACAGGCATATTAAAATACTCAAAAACTCTCACTAATACCCAGTATTTTAGCAGTTAGCCATGCCCATTCAGCCCACCAATATGAAAAGGTTTTCTTTATTAGAAATCTCTTTATTGAAGGTATTTGGGACCACCGAATACAGTTTAGCAGTGTAGTTTGAAAAGCCTGTAAAAAAACATCTCATTATAAAGACTACTTAACTGGGGATCTGAAAACTTGCATTTTAATTCATTCTCCTAAACTGTGTGACCGTGGCCAATCACTTCCTCTCCACATTTGTTTCCTTATCTGTAAAGAGAACTCGATTAAATCAGGAATTCAAAGATGCAGCTGTATGAAGCCTCTCGGTGGTCTTTGTGAACCACTTGGGCTTATTTTCAAATTCCCCTTGTGTGTGTGTGTGTGTGTGTGGACATTTTTTTGATGAGGGGACTAAAATTTCATCTGATTCATAACTTATGACTAAATAAGAACTACTTGGCTACCAGGACTTTATTCACTAATCCACAACAACTCCGGAAGCAAAATTTAGATCCTGAGGTATATATACTAGTAAATCATTTAATCTGGAGCCCTACAGCAAGATCATGACCCTGCTTTCTCCCATGATCAGGTTTTATTTTTGTGATGCTCTGAAGTGCTTTGCTTCTAGTCAGGAGTTTAGATCAAAGCATCCCAAGAGCCTATGATCTGACCTCCTAGACCTGTGAATCACTCCCAACTCGGCGTCACAAAGCCTTGAGACCAAATTGGCTGCACTGGGACCCTAAAGGCCAATGCCAAGAGGGCCTCGGATTCTGCCACAACCCCTCTACTCCCACTTGGTAAGTTCCTCCCCGCTCCCCCTATACATCTTCCCCCTGGTCTGAAGTTCCTCCCTTGGGGGTTCACTGCTTTGGTTTTGCCAAGCCTGAACACCGTGCGACCCAACTCCTTCGGGAAGAGGCATGACATTCTGATTTTAATGAACTAAAACTAGGAATGGCAGGAGGGCAGGGAAGTGACTGGAAGGTGAAGTGAGAAGGCTCCTGAGCTTTGCTCAGGGCATGAGCAGGAGGACAGACTGGGAACCAACTTCAAGGGCACAGGAGTCCAAAGGGCTGTTTACACGCTGTGCCCTGCACCTCAAACAAGACCTCTTCCGGGGAACAGAACCGGACCACGGCTCAAATTCCACCCGAAGGCAGAGGTGTGGAGGGGGCGCCCTATACCACCCCTCGTCCCAATTCCGCGTCCGCTGTGACCCTGCGGTCAGGCCTGGCAGCCCCCGGCCCCCGGGGGCCCTCGCTCTCCCGGCCACTGGCCCGCCCAGGGGTAGCGCTACTCGGGCCCGGCTTCTCCGCCGGCCGAGGCAAACCCGAGCTCAGGGCTCTCTTTACCAAGACAAGGTCTTCAGGCCCTTTCTGCCGCGCGAGGTCGCGCTGCATGCCCACGCTCCTCTGCCCCGGCCGGGTCGCGAGTCTCCTCCAAGCATTCCCTCCCGAGCCCTCCTTTAGCAAGATGGTGGCGAGTGCACTTCCGGCGAGTGTCCTCCAGGGCGCGTCCGGGCGGCTGCTGGAGGTGCCGCCCAGAGGGTTCCACCCTCTTTGCTGCTTAGACGATAACGGTGATGGCGGGCGGACTGTTTGGTTGGAGCCGAGCGGCTCTTCTCCAGCTCCTTCTTGGCGTGAACCTGATGGTGATGCCTCCCATCCAGGCCCGGACTCTGCGCTTCGTTACCTTGGTAATGAGAGACGGGGTCGCCCAAGGGTCGCCAGAGCTCGAAGGGCACGGGCTCGCTGGTGGAGGGAGGGGCGGGGTTTGTGGGGGGGGTGTGGGGGGCTGGAGGAGGAGCTGGATTAGGATACAGCTGGCCTGCGGTTTGGGGGGCTCAGGCTTGGGGCCGGGTTCGGAGGGGATGTGGAGCCGCGGGGGGGTGGAGGTGGGTGAACTGCAAGGAGTTCTATATCAGGGGATAGGTCGGGTGAATCTGCCCTGAGAAGGATGTAAATGGGTAAGAGACCCATCCCCCTACAGAAATCTTTGGTGATCTTTCCAGTCCTCCCACCCTCTGCCTTGCTTTTATTTCTCTTTTCCTTTCCCATCTGTACCTTTGGCTTTGCCTATGACCTCCGTGGTCATTGCTTAGCCATGTTAGACTCTCTGGAAGCTGGAAGAAGTTACTGACTTTTGAATTGGGGTCTTTTGCAATGGGTAGAGTTAAGGCTTCCCAGAGGGATTGAGGCTTCCCTCTCCATCATGGGGCAGAGGTGGGCTCTGGGTCCCCATCAGGGAGACCCTTGTGACCCCTAGGCAAACCATTTTCTTTTGTCAGCTGTACCGACATGGAGACCGGACACCAGTGAAGACATTTCCCAAGGACCCCTATCAGGAAGATGAATGGCCTCAAGGGTTTGGTCAGCTCACTAAGGTGGGTCAGAAGCCAGTCCTTCCTCAGTATGAGCTGCACAATGAGTGACCTCTAGAGCAGGCTACAGAACTAGGGCCCAACAAACTGCCATGTCCATTGTGGGTGCTGACTTGGACTAGATTTCTTGCCAAAGACAATGCCACACACAACTGGCTACTTAATAAATGACTTCTGGGATCCCATTAACACACTCCTACTTCCAGCCAGGGGTAAACTGAAAAGCAAAAGTGCCTAAACCCTGTGGGATTTGTGAGCCATCCCTAATCCTTGGGTTTGCCCATAGGAGGGGATGCTACAGCACTGGGAGCTGGGCCAGGCCCTGCGGCAGCGCTACCGTGGCTTTCTCAACACTTCTTACCACCCACAAGAGGTAAGGCTGGGAGCTCAAGATGCAAGGAGAATGGGATCTGCTGTCCTCACCCTCTGTCCTCAGGGAGCCTAAGGGTGAAGCTGGGCACTGCCCCCCCACCCCCCCATGCATTTTTGGTTACAATTACAGGACAAGACATCCAAGGGCTGTCTAGAACAAAACCCTAGAGCAGCGGTTCTCAACCTGTGGGTCGCGACCCCTTTGGGGGTCGAACGACCCTTTCACAGGGGTCGCCTAAGACCATCGGAAAACACATATATCATTACATATTGTTTTTGTGATTAATCACTATGCTTTAATTATGTTCAATTTTAACAATGAAAATACATCCTGCATATCAGATATTTACATTACGATTCATTACAGTAGCAAAATTACAGTTATGAAGTAGCAACGAAAATAATTTTATGGTTGGGGGTCACCACAACATGAGGAACTGTATTAAAGGGTCGCGGCATTAGGAAGGTTGAGAACCACTGCCTAGAGACTGAGTTGCCCCTGCTTGGGTGGGAAGAGGCAACATTTATCAAGCATCCAAGTTCAGACTGAAGGAAGGGTCTGGCAGAGTAGTGTCTGGCTCTGTGAAATAACTCAGGTTTTCCATTCAAGACACATATTGAGTACCTACAATGGGCTAGCATTTTGCACATAATGGTATACTACACACATATGATCTCTGTCTTTGTGGAACTTAGAATGGAAGATTGGCAAGTTTTTTGGCTCCTTGAGCTCGCCTCCCCCCCCCCCCCCCCCCCCCCCCCCCAAGGAAGAAGATAGCTGTTCCTTTGGTTACCACTCTCAGCCACAGCTCTCTCAAGTCCCTAGATGTTATTGTTCCCTTGAGGGCCAGCTCTGTCTTGATCTTGCCTACCCCCACAGCTTTCTCCTTTTCCCACAAGCAATTATCTGTTCCTTGTCTTATTTCCTCTCCCTGGCCTCCAAGCCAGTTTATAAAAGGGGGTGTGAATGGAGATAGTCTTCACCCTCAAGGATCCTGGCCTAAATAGGGAGACAGGATAAAACTAGACAGACAGACAGACAGACCAGACAGCCTTACTGACTTAGCACTTCGGATTGGGAGGGGCATCTGAACTAGAGCCATTCCCATAGGAGCCATTCTCAGAGTAGTGATAGCTAGCCCCCAGCTGAGTGTTTGGACCTTTGCTGGGAGAAGAATGGGGAAGGCCAAAGAGGATGCAAGGGCCAGATGCATGGTGGGATTACAGTCTATTCAGTAACCATCAAGAACAGGTTCTCCCCTTAAGACCCCACTGAGGAGCCAAAGCTCCTCACCCCACCCCCACAAGAAGAGACTCATGTTGTCATCTCTGCAGGTTTATGTGCGAAGCACCGACTTTGACCGTACTCTCATGAGTGCTGAGGCCAACCTGGCTGGACTTTTCCCTCCCAATGGGATGCAGCGTTTCAATCCAAACATCTCTTGGCAGCCTATTCCCGTCCACACTGTGCCCATTGCTGAGGACAGGGTAAGACTGGCCAGCCCTTCACTGCAGGCCGTGAGGGGCAGCTCTGGCCATGGGCCTGCTGACCACTGATTCCCTCTCTGCCTCTGCTTCTCCCTTTTGGTCTGCAGCTGCTGAAGTTCCCACTGGGCCCATGTCCCCGTTACGAGCAGCTGCAGAACGAGACCCGGCAGACACCAGAGTATCAGAATGAGAGTATTCAGAATGCAGTGAGTGGGGCTGAGGTGGAGGTCATCACACTGTCCTTTATCCCAGGGCAGGATTGACCCCCTGCTCCATTTGTCATAGCAATTTCTGGATATGGTGGCCAACGAGACAGGACTTACGGACTTGACACTGGAGACCATCTGGAATGTCTATGACACACTCTTCTGTGAGGTGAGCCTGCTTAGGGTCCCCAGTGTGACCCTTTCCTCTTACACTCAGCAGGCTCAGGTGACCAGAACACGGAGAGCACAATGCCTGACTACCATTCCCACTGGGGAGGTCCAGCCCAGCCACCTGCTTCTTGTGAAACAAGGGAACTTCCCTCAAGAGTGCAAAAGAACCCCAGAGTGGGAAATAGCTTATTAATTGTCAGCAGTTCCTGCCCTTCTCCACCCAGAGCGCTGGTGGTATCTGACTCCATCCTGCTGAGTCACGTTTTTTGTGCCTGAGCCTCCTTCCCTGTGCCCTGCAGCCTCAACACTCCGCCGTGTCCCTGGTTCCAGTCCCGCTGCCTCACCTCTCCTCTCCTCTCCCTCCCCTCTCACACACACACACAGGCACCTTCTCACTGGGGAAGAGAGATGCCCCGGGAGAGGCTCTGGCCTAGGCCGGGGAGCTAACCTGCCCGCTGCCATATGCAGAAAACACATGGGCTGGTCCTGCCGCCCTGGGCCTCACCCCAAACCATGCAGCGTCTGAGCCGGCTGAAGGACTTCAGCTTCCGCTTCCTCTTCGGGATCTACGAGCAGGCAGAGAAGGCCCGGCTTCAGGGGGGTGAGTGACAAAAGCAGCATGTCACTCCCTTCCTCAGGACCCTACAGCATTAAACACCTACTCTTGGGGGCTTCTCACACACTTCTCCACCCGAAATGTTCTCTGCTCTTTCAAAACCCCTCGGATCCCCCTCGTCATCCCGTTCGTCACCAAAGTCTCCCTAATTCGCCAAATGCTTAGCACATTTGCACTGGACCAATGACCACAATCAGGCCCACATGCTTCTTTTCTGCCATTCATATTCTTATGCTTCACTCATGTCAGAAGACCCTTCCCACTTAAAGGAATTCCCACCTCCAGAGAACCATGGGGGCCACTCTGAAAGGAGGCCGAGAGGAATGCCAAGGAGCACCCAAGGGAGAGCTGTCGTCAAGCCTTTCTGGCATCTCAGGGTTTTCCGAGCCTGCATATGGCAGAGTTCCCTCAGCCTGGAGCCACTGCCATGGGTGTCCTGAAGCAGTCTTAAGTTTATATTTGTTCTGACATGGAGGACTTCTTCAAACATGGGCGGTAGGGCCTTATAGCTCCTGTTTATCTTGCTTCCCTCTGTGTACTTGAAAGGAAAGTTGCCAGAGAGCAGGGCGTTCCTCTGTGGTTCACAAGCACCTAAAGAGTTCTCTGTGTCAGTGATCAGACCCAAGACTAGCAGAGGGTGACGGGACCACAGATAGAACTGATCAGAAGACAGTGATGGCTGTAGCCACTGACATGGGGATTTTTCTCCTTCAGGAGTCCTGCTGGCTCAGATACGGAAGAACCTGACACTGATGGCAACCTCCTCCTCCCACCTCCCTAAGCTGCTGGTTTACTCCGCGGTGAGCTCCCTTAGTCCCCAGCATGCTAATGTCAAACAAGGAGCTGGATTTCTTCTCTATTCGGTGCTGGGGAGGGGGGTGCAGGGGAGCATGCTAATCGGGAGCCCTTCTCCCTTACAGCATGATACCACCCTGGTTGCTCTGCAAATGGCATTGTATGTCTACAATGGTGAACAAGCCCCCTATGCCTCCTGCCATATATTTGAACTGTACCAGGAAGACAATGGGTGAGTGGAGCTACTAGTCTGCCCTCTGGAAGGGCACTCGCATGATGGCTATGGGCACCCTAAGGACTCCGTAACAGGCCTGGTGGGCAGCTTCCACCTTGTCTCC